ACAAATCTGAATCGATGTCTCGACCGTAGTTCACTGAAGCATAAAAGGAATGATAAAAATACTACAGCAAATACTACAATGAAGAACACTTTCTAAATAAAAATAATTTGTGTGCAAATACAGATTGTAAATTTCAATGTGCTGGGACATGTGAATCTGTGAACAACACGCATTTTCACCAGCAACCTCCCCTGCCTGGTATTTCCTTCCTGGTTTCCAGGTGAATGCCACAACATCACATGGCATAGGGTAAAGTTTTACTGGGAAAGGTCAAAACTTCAAGTCCAGGATCAGCAAGAAAGAGAGGAGGAAGGCACTATTCCTTCCCCACACTCCTCATCATCCGTGGAGAGGCATGCCAGGGCCCAAGGGACCTGTTAATTTGTCGTTTTATAGGTCAAGTTGTAAAAATGTCTTGTCAACAGGATTAAATACAGGCTGCTTGGCATCAGAAAGTTAGGACTTGGGGAACCAGCAGCTTTCACAAGTTGTCTGGAACAGAGCTGCCCAGGACATGGCTAGCATAGGTCCCATGAGTAGTTCCCCTCTGCCTGCCATCAGTTCTGAGAGTAGTGCAACTTGGGTGCTGTGCCTCCAAGTGGAAAACAGGTGGGGGTGCGGAGCAGTTCTATCCAGATTATCGTTCAAGGTTACTTGAACTGCTCATTGCACACCAACTAAGTGGTGGACAACAATGGTGTTAAACAAGCCAGACTTTAATCGTCCATGTTAAATGTTCTGGAGTTCATTTTTGCTTATCAGTCAAGGTACCAGCAGGAAACAGATGGCATAAAGATGGGAACTGATGAACAGTTTAGTAAAGGAGCTATTTAAAAATGTGGGCAGACGTAAGAGAAACCAACAAGGGAAGGGGAAGCATCCCCAGGCTAGCAGCAGAAGGGACCATTACCTCTCCTAGGCCTGAAGGGGCAAGGGGGTGGTGATTACCAAAACCCAGAGAGAGCGGTGACTGTGGAGGAGCTGAGGGACCGGCAGTGGACTTCAAGAGCTTTGCTGTGGAAACTCGCTAATCTGAACCTACAAACCTGAATGAGGGAGCAGGGAGAATGTTGACCCTGACCTCACATGTCCACTCTCCAATCTCCTGCTGGTGTCCCCATTGACCAAACCCAACCACAAGTCAAGGGCAAGGAATGTGGCAAATCCAGCTAATGGAGTTCATAAGGCTCAGCCTTCCAGGGCACATTGTCAAGTGGAGAAGGTAGAGAGTGGATAAGAGGGGCAAACAGAATGTCCACACACCAGTGAAGACAGGGCCCAGTGGCAACCTTGAGAGAACAGCCTTTGGAGAGCAAAGGAAGAGACTGACAGCAGGGCATGGAGATTGCTGAATAAGAGACCACTCTGTCAATAACTTGTTCAGGAAGAAAAGGAACCAGTTACAAAACTATCTTAAAGAGGTATCTGGATTAGGAAAAGAGAGTCCTTTCTGATTTGTGGGATAAACGTTGAATTTTCATGTGAAGAGCATAAGGATTCAGTGTAAAAGGAATAATGAGAGAGAAAAACAGATATACCCTCAATCAAAGAGTCAAGTTTTAAAGATAAGTTGTAGTGTTACAAGAACACTCTCAAAAATTGTACCAACTGTTTATTGGAAATCATTACCTCCCTAATAATAATTAGTCTGAGAATGTATTCTGCTACAGTAGGTTTACCATGACATCTCCTGACAGTATTTTAATAAGATTAGACTTTAAATTGTTCTCACATATGACTTGAACAGATTAAGGCATTTGATGGAAACAAGAAGACCAGATTTAAGGATTACGTAAAGATTTAAGAAAACTAAATATATTTCAAAATTGATTAGCTATTAGAATACTTACTTTGCTAAAATTTAAATATGTAACAAGGAATAAATTTTAATTACAAATTAAAATGTTTTTTATTTTTTTCTACATCTAACAGTTTCAATGTATTTCAAGGCTAAGATACAATGTGTTATATAAATTCCAACTCCAGAACTTTGTGGTCTCTCAGTACCATTTAAAGGACAAATTGGAATTTTTCCAGCCTGATCCACTTGAGACTATCATGGGTGTTACTTAATAGATTAAAAACCTCAGGAATTACAATGTTTGAACTACTAATAGGTCATTAATCACATTAGGGACATTATTTCATGTACTGTTACAGAATTTCATTTATACTTAAAATGACCAGTAACATAAGAAACATGAAGAGCAGAGTAATGTCTCCTCACATTAAGAAGACAGCTGAAATCTCAGTGTTCATTGTTATCTATTGCCATACTAACCCATCCATATCCATCACAGGATTATCTAGCCCTTTCCTAGATGTTTCTCTGGTATTTAAAAGTATGGTCTTTTAATTTATTTATTTTTAAAATATGTTTTCACTCATTTTTTTTAGAGAGAGAGGAAGGGACGGATAAAAACATTGAAGTGAGAAACATCAATCATTTGTCTCCTGCATGCCCCCTACTGGGGATCCAGCCCTCAAACCCCAACATGTACCCTGACCATGAATCAAACCAGGACCTCTCAGTCCAAGGGACAGATGCTCAATCCACTGAGCCACACTGGCCAGGCAAAAGTATGGTCTTTTTAAACATCCAGTACTTGAATTGGTAAAATTATAAAAATACCCCTCTTCAAGAAAATCTGATCCCATTTGTAAAATGTGCTACTCAGAGGTATATAGGTGTATAGATTGGATTAATTTCATTTGTACATAGACCAATACAATTGATGAAACAATATTAAGCAACCTCATATTTTGCTGTGATGAGGTAAAAGTCAGAGTTCTTTTTAAAAAATAATTGTAAACCACAACACCCATATATTTCCTTTTCTCTTCCAGCCCTAAAACAATAAACTAAGATAACAGATGGAATTTTTCAGGCTTTGGTTAAAAGTCTTTATCTCCAGAGACCTGAGAAGGAAGATTTAACTGACCTTCCCACGTAAAAACGCATATCATCTTTTGAGATATGTCTTCCTTGCTGGCAAGTCCCTATGAAAGAAGTGGGAGACTAAAATCAACTTCAACTTGTGAAAATTAAAAGTAACCTTCAGGCTAATGGGTTTTCAACACCACTCCTTACTGGGCAAAAATTAATTGTGCCCCATAATATTAAATTGCCTCCTCAAAACTGACTTCTCCAATAAATTACAACATTAAATACAGTAAAATTGGAATTCCTACAAAACAACCCCTCCCCGCCTCCATCTTTATTAAAATTGACTTTATCTTTAATGAAGTACTCCATCTACTTCTGGGGTCCAAAAAAGGGGAGCAGAAATCTAAAAACTGTCAAGTAATGTCAAGGACAATTAAAGGCCAGAAAAATAAATTAGATCTTTGAGAAAATTAGAACTGTAGTTCAAAGAAGTAAATGCGTTAGCACTTTACCAAATGCTAAATTTAAGGAATGGAGAGAGTTCTTCACCTAGCAGAAGGTGACTTGCTATTTTTAATGTCTTTGAAGTAGCGATCAGAAGGACACAATAAAATAATTACACATTGTAATGAGTTTATAAGGTGGTAGCTCTTGTATAAACTCTAGTGATCACTAAAAATTCACTATATTTCCACTAATTGAGACAGTTCTGATGTAGTACTTTTTAAATGGGGTTGGGAGTCATAAATGCATTGTTGAATGAATACTGTGCATTAAGAACTAAATCAGATTCTTTAGTAGTGAAAATACCACTACAATCAACTTGAAAAATTAGCCAAACATACAAAACCAGAGACAATTCATGAACATAAGTTACGAGTACACACTGTGAGGCAATTTGAAAGAAAGGCACTATTATTGAGGTTTTGTAAAGTTAAAGTGTTCGATTTGGTCTGAAAGGCAATGGGAAAATATAAGAAGTGGTCCATGATGAAATATTATCCTGGCAGCTGTATAAAGGATGGACTAAAGTCAGCACGAACAACAAAACTAGTACTAATCCTAACAATATCTAACACTATAGGTGCCAGACACTGCTCCAAACATTCCCATATATTAACGTGTTAAATACTCACAGGAATGCTGTCAGAAGATTATTATCCCATTTTACAGATGGCAAAACTGAAGCACTTAATGTCTAATTTTTCTAGTAAGCTTCCTGCACAGTAACTCTCATGCAGGTAATTAAAAGCAAAGTACATTTTATTTTCAAAGCAAGTATTATCCAGAAAAGAATACTCATATGGCCACTAACTATATTGTTTTTGTTTGTTTGTTTGTTTTGTTTTGTTTTTGGTACATACCCCTAGCGGGAACCAAACCCGGGACACTCTGGTCCGCAGGCCGACGCTCCAACAGCTTAGCCAAACTAGCCAGGGCACTATATTGTTTTTTAAATGTTTTTATTATGGAAAATTTCAAACCTATCTACAGTAGAAAGAATAATATAATGACCACCTCCCCTCCACCATGTACGCGATCTTGATCCATCTACTGTACCTCCACCCTTTCCCCATGCTCCTCCCCTGTTATGTTGGAGTAAATCCATACATTATATCATTTCACCATCAAAAAATTTTCAGTCTGCACCTCTGAAAGGACACTATTATCTTTCTGAACATAGCCATAAATAACATCACAGCACCTTAAAACAGCAGTTATTCCGTAGTATCAAATGTCAATCAATGATAAAGTTCCAATAATATATTTCACTTAAATATTTAATGAGAACTTAATGTATTGGCATTAGAAAACTTCACATATCAGCTCATTTAAATTGCTGTTGTTTAAATGGATTATTTTCTTTCTCCTGGCTTTCATTCTTATTAAAAAAGCGTCTGTCTCTCCCCGAAGACTCGAGGACCTTCGGAGCACGTCCGCGGGCCTCGCCCCAGCCTCCCGTGCCCACCGCCAGGGCCCAGCCCTTTCCCAGGTGCGGCCCGGGCTCCGGCCCCGGAAGCTGCTGGGCGCTGGGATCCGCTCCACGGCCCTGGGACCCCGGCCCCGCCCCGGTTTCCTAGGCGACGAGGGGCCGCGGTGCCGGGGCAAGATCATGGCGACTGCTTTGGGGACCACTGTCCGGGGGACAACCTCCGCGGCAGCAGTGGACCCGGCGGGAAACTCGTCCGAGTCGGAGGTACGTCGCCCCTGCCCGGTACCCGCGACCCCGGAGCGCACGCCGCCGGCCAGTCCCGGGCAGCCGGCCCAGGCCCGGGTTGGGCGAGCGGAGGCCGGGAGGCCTCGGAGCTGGGGCTGCGCGGGGGGCCGGGAGGCACCGCCCGGCGCGCCGCCCTTGGAGCCCCGGGCTGTAAACTGCGGCGATGCCTCCATTGGATGCCTGGGGTTCAGGCCCAGACGACCCCACAACTGCGCGCTTCTCCCTGATTCTCTGCACCAGTGAAGGGTTCTTGGAATTTTAAGTGGACCAGTCAGTCCCTTTTGGAAATTTCTACCAATTCATTTTCAGGGATCACAGTTCTGACTGTTGAAAGGTGTCAGGGAATATAACTCTTCATTGATACTGGATTGATTACTGTTTGAAGGCTGGGCGTGGTTTTCTCCTTATTGTTTTACCATTTCCCTAAATAAATAAATACACGATAAGATAAAAGGTAGGACAAAGGAGGAACACCTGGAAGGTCGACCTTAGGGTAACGTTCATCACCAGCTTGTCTTCAGGAAAGTTATGTAACCCCCTTGGGCCCCAGTTTCCTGTACACAATAAAGATTTATTTTTAGGCTCCTCCCAACATCAGCTCTCAGTAATACATGGGCTTTAGGTAATTTTACTTGCTCATAAGCTTAGTATCCTGAGATATTTATTAAGGACATATCTGCTATGCCAGATAGTACTAAAAAATGTTTGTCTTCACACCCTGAGTCCACCATGTTGTTCCTATGAATTTTTTAAAGGCCCCAAAAGTAAAAGTTCTAATTAACACTGTATGCTCAACTCCCATATTTGCCTAAACAATGTCCTGTATGCAGAAGAGAAGTATGAGCTGCAATATTATAAATGAAGAAACACAGAGCCAATAATTCTGTTCCTTGCTCAGAGATATACAGTCGTTCCCAATCCAGAGTCTGCCATTACCATATGCAGACTGCTAAGGCATGCTGTCTCCTATGAGCCTTTCGAAATTAGCATATTTTAAAAACACATTTTAATGTGATAAACTGGTTACTAAGCCAGTTACTCCCTTGTGATCTCTAATGTAAGTAATACAATTTCAAAAGTGGCATAGGAAAATTTCCAATAAAACTGTGTTAAATATATACAAAAACTAAGTTGTGACAACACACAATACATTTACATATCCTTGTCCAGGTAGATATCTTTTCTGAGAAGACTGATAATTTGAGGTCTTAATGACTCTGTCTTTAAGAAAGGGGAAAGAAAGAAACACCCCACTATTTTTTTAAAGATGCAAAGAAGTGCCATGCTCCAGGGGGAAAATTCACTTTTTATAATGGGTGATGAGTCAGATGAATGAGCTAGTTATAGACCTTAGATGATTATCTACCATGTTAGCACTGTCAGTAGACACACTTGTTAACTTCATGGAGGAGCAGTTTTCCCTATGATAATTCAGGCTACACTAAATCTTTCAGTTAGTGACGAATGGGAGAAATCCAGTGGGACCTTGGACTCAGCTGTGCTCAGTTACTAAGATTAACATACGCTGCATGGTGGAAACTCCGTTTTTTTTGTTTTGGTTTGGTTTTTTTCCCTAATGAAAGCAGAGTTCCTGTAGTTCACAGAGGAGAGAGTTAATCCATAGAGCTGTGTCATTCATTAGAAGGACAAGTTCTGCCAGCCACCCATTTGTGCTGACTGGAGGGGTCAGGGGTTAGATGGAAAAGATGGCGAAAGCCTCTCTCTCTTGAAGTCTGTTCCCAAGGCCACGGCTTTTCAGTTAGATACTGAAAGGTTCTTCTCAGATCAGATTCTTTCCAGAGTTGATCCCTGGAGACCTGGTCCCTATGGTGTCATTTCTAATAAATTTGGTATCCAAATTGACTTAACCAGTAGACCATGTAGTCATTTCAGCCAAGCAGTAGTGAGAAATCTTTCTTTTCTTGCCAAGTCTATTGGAAATAAAACATAAGCTTCCAGTAGTCTCAGGTTTCCCATTTGTTGTTTGTTGCCAGTACCTAGAATAAAAACAACCAATTATCCCAATCACATAGTAGGCACTTAATAAAATATAACTAGTTAAAATTGTAGGTGGTCTGACGTGTGCCAGGAGAGGTAGTTATCGTAGACTAAAATCTACTCTGTGAGACACTGTGAACAAGCAGATGGGCAATGCAGGTCCAGAAAAATATTTTTCCTATAACATTGCATAAACTCTTCTTGCCAACTTTCTGAATTTAACATTCCAGGTACTTTAATAATCCTGGAGTAAATGCCTCCCTCTAAAAGGTAAGACTAAACATGTAGCAGGGATCTGTAGAAATGCACAAGAACAGAAAAATAACAGAACTCTGAAAATAAATATTTGCTGTAGACATATGTGTAAATGAAAGGAGTTTACAAGTAAATTTGTAAATGAATTTACAAATGAATACTAAGAATTCAGTCATCAGTCTATCATTAGTTTGCTTATAAACTGACTATTAATAGCTTCAAAAATACTATTTGGGAAATATAATTATTTAAGTAGTATACTTAAAAAGACTATACTCAACTTACATTAGAGACCTAAAAGAAAATGTAAATGGTTATTTCCCACCCAACTGCTTCTTCTGAATAATGTCTTTTGGCATCACCATATCCCCGATAGATGACATTTACTCAATGCATTCAGGGCCTTACCAACCCAGGAGACACTTACATAATCTTGAGTGGAAAAATGAATGTCATTTGTCTTAGAGCGTGTCATGGAGGAGGCCATCGGCAATTCTGTGTACCTTAGATGGTCTCGACAGACCTGGAAGACAGCCCCCGCTCTATTATTGGCAGGTTGGAGAGAAACACTTTGGGCTCAATTTGAACAGCAAAATGATGAAGTTTCCGCAATTTCAAAATTACTCCAGAAGTATTTATTGAAGCCATTCATAGCACATAGTGTAGATCAACCTGTGCGGGGCCAAGGAGAGGATGCCAAAATATTGCTTAAAATATTGTTGAGAAACGGTACTAATGTACTTCAAAATGTTAATATACAGTAGTATCAGACACTGAGAAGGTCAGGGCATACTGGCTGTGGGCGTGGAGCTCCTGACAAACATGTGGGCTTGCCTTCCTTCTTACAGCTGGTCTTTGGGTTTCCTGTCTTATTTAAAACGTTCTGTTTCTTCTCCCCCCTCCAGCCTCTCTTTCAGGTTGCACAAATAATCTCCAATATTTTTCTAATATTTAAAGTTTTAATATACTAAAGTTAGGTTTTTAACACAGCTAACATTAATGTTTGATAGATGTATTTTGTTTATTTGAAATGAGATCTCATTTTGTTTTCTTCTAGATATGAACCATCAATTAAGTTAGCGTCATTTACTACATAAACTGTCCTCTCTGTTCTTACAGAGAATGAACTGACTGCCGCTGTCACATTATAACGTTTTATATATATATACTTGAATGGGCACAAGAATGGACAAAATAGTCAATGGAACAGAATGGAGACTTTATATAATATAGAACAGGTATTGCTAGAATTCAGCGACAAAACTTCAGTAAAATACAAATAGAAAAAGAATAGCTTAACATGAAGACATTGTTTGCCAAATATCATATCGAATGGTGAAATACTGAAGCCATTCATATGAAAACCAGGAAATAAAAAAAAAAAATTCTGGCTAGTAACATTATTGTAATTCAACATACTATAGGGGTTCTAATTAATAAAGTAAGAAAACAAAATATGTGGCTTAAATATTAGAAATGAGGAAATAAAAAAAAACTTTGAAGATTATATGGTTGTATACCTAAGAAACTTGACATTGTATTAACATACTTTGAGCTAATAATAAATTTGATGAGGTGGTTACATATAAATATATAAGGCCAGTTCCTTTTCTCTATATTAGAAATTAATTAGAAATGAAAATGATAAAAACTTGATTAAACTGCATACTTGGTTATAAATATAATAAGAAAGGCATAGGACCTATGATAAACTATCAAAAGTTTGATAACAGGAGTTGATAAAAAAGATTTATTGGAAACCTTCAAATTCAAAAAATTAAATCCTTCCCACATTATAAATGCAATGCAATGGAACTAAAGATTTTTTAATGTAAAATTTTAAATATATTTTTATTGATTTTTTGGAGAGAGATAGAAACATCAATGTGAGAGAGAAACATCAATCAGCTGCCTCCTGCCCAGCCCCCACTGGGGATCGAGCCTGAAACCCGGGCATGTGCCCTGACCGGGAATCGAACCAGAAATGCAACCAGGACTTAAACCGGGACCCTCAGTCCATAGGATGACACTCAGTCCACTAAGCCACTCCAGCTGGGCTAAAGATTTAGTTCCTACATACGATTATATACATACAAGATTACATTAGAGTTTTTTATGATGATCCATCCTTGCAGTTCTGAACTTAACTAATGCGGTCACAATGACAGTTTATTGTTCTTTTAGTACATTTCTGGGTTCAATTTTCTAAGATAGTATTTCAATTAGAATTTTTGCATCTGAATGTATTAATGATTTTGGTTTACAATTTTCTTTTTATGCTAGTTCAGGTTTTTGTGTGTAGATTATGTTGGCTTCTTAAAAATGAATTATCAACAGTCTATAATTATTATACTTAACAGAATGTGTGTGTTCTTGTTAGGTAGAATTTCAAGCATAAAACTACTGAGCATGGTGTCTTTTTAATAAGTAGACTTCCAATTTAGTTCATGTTTGGTCAGTTCCATTTTCTCCCTTACTCCTGGTCAAGTTTGATAATTTATGTATTCGTACAAAATCACCCATTTTCTTGTAATTTCTTAATGTATTTCCACTTATATGGTATATGTTTTTTTCTTCATTTTAATCACATTTGCCAAAAATCTACCTATTTTATTAACCATCTAATTAATTACTGATTATTAATTAATTAATTAATTTTAAAGAATTAGCTATTGCTTTAACTTACCCTTCTTTCAACTTTTTTTTTCTTCTTTTTTTTAAATTGGCTCTTTAGCCTGGTCAGGACTATGGTAAGGTGAATGGGACACTCTCCTTGGATACAAAATTTAAGAGATGCCAAAAAATTCAGTAGTCAAGACATTTTAATACAATATTTTTTAAAAAAATCAAAGTTAATGCCAAAAAAATCTCTAATGGATCGAAGTTTTAAATAGACAGCATTAGTTTTACCGATTTTTCCCCCTTTTGCCTCAGGTTCAACACAGTGCTGCTCCTTAGTTCTTTTATTTTCAGGCTTGAAGAAAGTCTTTAAAAATGTGGAAATTGTAGATCATTCTATGACAGTGAAACCCCTCTGTAGTCATCTTTGGTGAGATCTATTTTTCTTTGAATGAACATTCATTAAGAATCTTTTCAGACACTACCAGGGATAGATACAAAGATTCTCCCAGAACCTTTAAATTCTAGAAGGAAGACATATATACAATGTGGAAGGTTTAGGTGACTTGAGAGAGAAAGATCACAGAAAAGATTATCTGGCAAATAATATCAGGCTTTCAATTTTATTGCTTCTGGAATAACTGCTAAAATCCACCAGGTGGTGGAGTAAAATGAGTTACAGTGCAGTTTAGCTTACAGCTTTTCCTGGTAAAAGCTGTAATTTTACAGAGAAGGCCACAATTACATATCCACATTTTTATTAGACTATTTGTGAATTTTCTATTATCTCTTCAATTTGTACAAATTAGAATGTATGTATTAAAAGATTAAGGATTTTTAACCACCCTATATCCTTTCTAGTGCAAGGCAATGTATAAACAAACAAACAAAAAGCGCTCTAGTTTAAAATAGGTCCAGGAATTCAATTTAAAACAAAGAAACAAGAAACCAGAGGCAAACCCTCCTACCAGATGATTATCGTAAGCTATCAAGTTTTAGTAAAAAATGAAGCACTAATCCTAGGCATTTTAGCTGGAATTATTGTTATACAAAAGGTTAAGATTATTGTATTCTTTTTCATATAGTTCCGTATGACCTATTTTTTTCCTCTCCAGAAAAATTTTAAATCTAATAAAATTGATCTGAATGTCTGTATAATGTACTTTTCATGTATATCTTTATTCATTATTAATAATGATAGCAATCTTGTGTGTATTAAAACATATCAAAATGATTTTTAGCATGAATCCAAATTTAGGTTCAAATGACTTGCTGTAAGTCACAAAATTAATCAGTAGTCGAACCGCCTGAGATTTCCAAATCCAAGCCCTGCTTTTCCTCATACTGCATCATCCAACAGTGTCACCATGTGATGGAGATGAATTCAGGCAGCCTATTAACAACCCATGTTGACATAACTAGGATCTGCAGAATTCTAAAAGGGAGTAAAAGATGGAATGACTGTCCCTGAGGAATTTATAATCTAATGGGCTTGACAGTGCAGGAATAATTATACTTTACTGCTACTAATAAAAAATATATATGACCAAAAAACATTTAAACAAATCTATAGCCATATATTGTGTACTAAAATACTATCCTACCTAAAAACTGAGTGCATTTAACTCAATTTCCAAGGATCAAAGTGCCTACTAGATGCAAGGTATTATGTATTAGGTAATAAGGTATTTTTATCTTACTGAGATTATAATCTAATAGAATGACCTAGTTTAGGTTAATTTGCTAACCTTAGATTGCAAAATGATAGCTAACAAAGTAACTTATTTTATTTCTAAATTACATCTTAAAAATAAAAATATAATAACCTAATTTAAATACAAACATTAAGCGTTTTACCATTACCAATAATGGTAGCTTTGGGATTTTTCTGCTCTGGGAAAAGAATAAGGAAAATTTGGGGACATGGTCTTGTTTACTATAACAAAACATTTCTTTGTTTTTGTTTTTTATTTAGTGAAGTCTACATACATGGAAGGATACATGACTATTTGTTGAATTGAAAACATTTGCCCCCTTCTCTCCCCAAAACCTCACAGCCCTTGATTTTTATGGAGCTGCTGCTGTTACTTTGTGTCTGTCTCCTCTTCTATCCCTGTTCATAGCTCTTGTCTTCCTGCTCTGGCTTTGGACAGTTTCATCCATTCTCAGACTTGCAGTGACTCCTAAACCAGGATCTTCAAACTTGACCTGTCTGACTGTAGCATTTCTAATTAACCTCTAAACATTTCTTCCTTAAAAGTCATATTCCATCTTAAACTCAACCACTGAAACCAAACTCATTATCTTGCCTTTCTAAAACTAGTATCATCTTGAAAAACTCCTATTTCTATTCTGTGTAATGAGAGAACCATGTATGGTTTTGCAGACTACTGCGAACCACAGAACTTGACTGAGAGGTGAGCAGGAGCTGAAACTAGACTGTCTTCACAGGTGCTGCACTGGGCCCAGTTGTGTCGGCCTCAAGACTTTTAGTACTTGCTGCATCTGGAGAGGATGCTTGGTCTAGGTCATACAGAGGGGCATTTGTACTATTGGAAGCCCTATTCTGCTAGGAGCCTATTTCAGAAACTCAGAGTCTCCATCCTTTTTCCCTGTTTTAGTTCCCCATACAGAGTATTTTGCCCCAATTCACCCATTTCTTTTCACTAACACTGCATGGAGCCCAGTACAGCCCAATGCCTCGTTCCTGAACTGTTTTAACAATATTTTCATTTAACTCCACCTATGTGCCTTTTCTCTGCTTCTGTCTTTCCTTCACCCTACTACAGATTACCATCCTTCAAGCATCGTTTTACCTTGCCATTTCACTACTCAAAAACTTCACACTGCCTCATTGACTCTATGAGCAAGAACAAACTCTGTAGCCTGCCCTTCTTTAATCAGCCAGGGTCTAAAATATTTATGGTTGTTTGCACAGTATCTTACATCTTATAATCACTCAATAAATATTTTTTGAATTATTAAATTTAAGATATCCCACAATAGGTTTCCATTGGCAACTTCCTAATTAGGTCCAAGTAGTCCCCCATTGTACCGTAGGCACCATTATGAATTACTTGATATTCACAGAACTGGTACCCAACTGCTGTGTCTTCATCGCGTTGGCATTGTTGACTCATTCACCTGGGCCACTACCTACGCCTAATCTCATGACGTCTATTCCTGGACCTTCTGTCTGCAGACTTTCCTTGTCCTACCCCTGCCCTTGCTCCTTTCTTTAGGCTGAATGCCACATTTTATGGTTCACCATTTTATTTTTTTGTTTTAAAGTCACCCTTGGTTTGTTCCTCCCACTAGATGATAAACTTCTTGAGGCTAGCAAGTCGTTCTTATTCGTCTTTGCCTCCTCTTGAGCCCCAAGTTCAGTGAGGAATACATAGATATTTTTAAAAATATGTTAATTGAAAACCATCACCCAGTTTTAAGTATGCACAAAAGATAGATCGACTAGCCATTCAACTTTTACTTAAAAATAAAATAAAAATGATCATCTAGGAGACTGTTGTTTAAAAAAAATTCTTAATAGCAATTAGACAATAGTAAGAACAAATTTTGATATTGTTGGGAATAATATGTAGAGCATATGACTGAAATAACTCATTTTCCAATTGTTTTTTTGGTAGAGAGATGCTGAATTTCAGGAGCATGAAAAGATTCTGTCTCCAGATTTTCTTTCAGTTGCTCAAATCATTGAAATGCTAGCAGAGGACGTAGATGGCGTTCAAAGGTAAGCACTTCGATATTATAAGCAAATATAGAACAGTTCTAGTTCTGCATCTGTAAACGACCATGATATTCTATTACATATTTTAAACGTTTTTCTAAATATTATACACACATATCTATATATAGAGAGAGAGCTGTTCAGACTGTGGAACACAATTCTCAAACAACTAACAGCACTGCTCAGCAGTCTTCTTTGTGGGAGAAATGCATTTCAAACCAACTTGCTAATATTAACTAAGAGTATGGATTTATTGTTAAAAGCAGCCTTTAGCATATGCTGTCTTCTACTTCTTTTCTCTTTCATTCATGAAACTATCAATATTCACAAGAACCTTTGGGTCTTCTGTCTCATCATGAAAAGAATAAGTTGTAATTTTCTGTAATATTAATAATCAATACATTTTATTAATTTGGAAATCCTGAATATTAGCCATCCATCTGTGATTTTTATTGGATATGAAGCTATACCGAGTACTCTTATTTCATATATTTGCTTAAAAATGTGAGTGTAACTGAATTTATAGGCAATAATTTTAATATATGTACAACTTATTTTTAAGACCATTGATTTCTATAGTAGAGCATTTACTTTGGACTCTAGTCACATATATCCAACACACAAATTCCTAAATGGTGTTTTTAGTAATCGCTCATTTTAAAAATCATCAGCTCTAATAATGGAGTCCTGAGTGGCTGTAATGTGTGGAGAGACGAGACAATGTGCTGTGCTGGGCCATAATGTCCCAGTGTAAGATTTCTGCAGGCCAGTCCTCCAGATTTTAGCAGGGCATTGTGGACTATAATGGACAAATAGAAAATGACTCTGTCAGGGGTTATCATTTGCAAATCTCACAAATATTATGGAATAGAGGCGATTTGCTACTGAGAAGGAAATATATGACAGATGTACTGGATGGAAGAGAAATCGGAGAAGGGAAGGCATATTAAGAGCAGGTGAATGACACTGACAGGCCTTTTCCCAAGATGCTGTTCACCTCCAGTGCCTGTAAATCCTACTGGAAATGCTAGTGATGTGTGATTTGGCGATACTGCTGGCTGTCTGCATCTTTATAAGTATGAGTCAGTACAAAATCTTACTGATTTTTAAACAAGTATTTCATGGGGATTTTACCATTTTTGTAGAAATGAATACTAAATTGGGAATTCTGACTTTTAGTGTCAGAACTGATTAGTAGAATCCATTAATTTTATTAGCATCTGTGATTATTTATGCTTTAAGTAAAATATAATTTTCCATTCCTAGGTAATCCCGAATATTGTTGGTTATTGAAATGCGAAAGTTTGGTATTTAATGCTAGGCAAAATAATGTGATGCTAATGGCAGATATTTCAATAGTTTACAATTTATTTTTATTAAATATTAAATAAAATATGTTATAGTAAATGGAATTAATATTAAATAAATGTTATTGCAACCAAATGCTTTTAGACTTATGTATTACCACATCCTAAGTTGTATTGTGTATCATACCTTCTGTGACAATTTTTTTTTTCAATTATTGGGTTTTTTTTGTTGTTAAGGATCTAAATTCTAAAATTATTTTAATCTTTAAGAGGTGAGGTTTAAGTCAAAGAAAATGATACAGAGGTTGATACAGAAGTTATCAGTTTTAGTATAGAAACAAGCAGGTTCAACAGTGGATCTTTTTAAAAAATATGTTATTATTTATTTTTAGAGAGAGAGGAAGGGAGAGGGAGAGAGAGAGAAACAGTGATGTGAGAGCAAAACAGATTGGCTGCCTCCTGCATGCCACCTATCTGGGTTGAGCCCACAACTGGGCATGTGCCCTGACCAAGATTCAAACTGACAACCTTTGATGCACAGAATGACACTCAACCCACAGAGCCACACTGGCTAGGGCTACATAGGTTGACCTTTTAAACTGTCTCATTAGTAGAATTCACCTGAAGTAATCTCAGATTTTAGGACATCAATTTTGGATAAATGACACCAACGTTTCTTGAGGGTTTTTGAAAAATGATTTTTGAAACAGTAATACTGAAATATCTGCAATCAATCATTCACTTTCCAGTTAAAATAACACTACAAATGGGGATTAAATATCTTTCAATGTAACAGAAATATAATTTAGGTATCCTGTCACTAAGTGACAGAAGTATGCGAAAATCATGCAGTCTGCAAAGCTATAAACCTATTAAAATAAATTATAGGAAATTAACACATTTCTCTACCTTTTAAAAAATTAAAAATTGTGCTCCATGAAAGCAGCCAACCAAATAAAACATTAAGGTATCATTAAAACATGTTTGTGGAGTACACTTCAAGTAAAGTTAAATGTCTGAGTACATTTCTCATGGTTCCCTAACTACTATCAATTATGTTTTAATGTAACCCTGATTTTATTTATAGACCCACTCAAATCTTGTTTGAAAAGTGATAGGAACAAAATTAAAAATAACTATTTAAACACAGAAATAACAGTAAGAGATCTTTTAATAACCTTTCTATAATGGGGTTTCCATGAGCTGTTCAATTTTTGCCTTAAGGCTTATATCTGCATATCATCATATTTAAAAAATAAAATTCACTCCAATTTCATGAGCATGCAAGAATAATATAATATTTTTACTGAAATTATTGGTGAGATAGTTACATCACCTATCACTGTAGCAAAACTTCCTAAGTCACTATTAAGCGTCTTTCTCTTTTCCTGCATTTTCTCATGCTAGCTGTGACCATTTCTCCCCTTTTCCCTGTTCATCTCTCCTTATCCCCAGAGGAAAAGCTTACAAATTTGCCAGTAGGTATGGAATCTGCATTCAAACCACAGTAGTATCTTGCTCCAAATGCTTCCTTGCACAATCTCCTTTGGGGTGAAATGACTGAACAAAGAATTGAAATGGTAAATATTTAGCCCTGTATTTCAAATTGAAAGTTAAGATCTAAATGGTACTAGGAGAAGAGGTGCAGGGGGTATGAGGGAGAGAGAAAAGGTAGAAGATGTCAAATAAATCTCCCAAAAATATTCTTACACAAGTAGTTACCTTCATTCACATATAATGAAACACTTAAAAAAATTAAAATAAAAAGCAAAGAACACAAAACTATACAGGCCAAATATTTATTTATTTTTAAATACATAGCATAGCCCAGCTGATATGGCTCAGTGGACTGAACATTGTCTTATGGACCGAGAGGTCCTGGTTTGATTTCTGGTCAGGGCACATGCCTGGGTTGTGGGCTTGATCCCCAGAAGGGGGCGTACAGGAGGCAGCCGTTAGATGTTTCTCTCATAAAACACATTAAAAGACCTAGCATGGAGATGGCAGATGAAAAGTACACTTAGACGGAAAATTAACTGCTAGTAACAGAAGAAAGCGTTAGATCAAAGATGATTTGGTTCTGTAAAAGACCAGGTTAAAGAAAAAAAATGATAAAATATGTAAATAAAAAACTCTTAGAACTAAGGTAAAAAACTAAAGACTAAAACCAAAGTAAATTAAACAAGTAATGTGGAAAATATATTTATGAAAACTCATACAAAATGCAGATTAAAGCAATTAGAAGATGCTTGAATATACATCCAACATAGTGAATCAGAAAAAATTTCAATTTCATAAAATATAAGCTATGATTAACCCTCAGAAGAGGGTGTGGTGGGGGGAGGAAGAGATAAACCACAGAACTTATGTGCATGTACACATAACCAATGGATGTGGACGACAAAGCCGGGGACTGGGTGGGGGAGATGGGGAGGAGGGTGTCAATGGGGAAAAAAAGGAGAAACATCTGTAACAAAAATAAAATAAAATAAAATAAATATATTTTAGTAGTATAAAGTTTCATATATTACCTTATAAGTTACCTGCTGAGGAAAATAATTAAGCAGACCTCAAACTTTTCCTTAGCAACATTAGGTAGCAGAAATCAGTGGAGTGACAAGTAACCAAATTCAGGGAGTGAAAATATAGTGATTCCAGAATAAAATATTAATTTGCATTGTTGCTTTAGTTAATCCACCTGGATTTTACTTTAGTGTATTGGGTGAGGTAGCATTTTTTTTCTATATAGCTAGCCAGTTCTCCCAGCACCATTTTTGAAATACATTCTGTCCTATACCAAATTCCCATCTGTTTCCGAGGTTTCTACCTGTTCCATTGGCCTATTTATTGATTCTAAAATACTACAAGGTGGTTTTTTTTTTTAATTTTTTTTTATCCTCACCCGAGGACATTTTTTTAAATTTTTTGTTCAGATAGAGTGGGAGGGAGAGAGAGGAAGAAAGAGAGAAACATCAACATGAACATCGAGTGGCTACCTCCCGCACGCACAACCCAACCAGGGCCGGGGACAAACTGCAACCGAGGTACGTGCCCTTAGCGGAAACCGAACCCGGGTCTCTCTGGACCTCAGGCCGACGCTCTAACCGCTGAGCAAAACCGGCCAGGGCAAATACTACAAGTTTTTATTACCATAGATGTTTCCTTACTGACTTTCACTAAATGATATTGTACCTTAAACATAGAAAAATATATCTTGCTGATAGACAATGTAAATTGAAGGTGATTGGCTACTAAGGTAACCTCCCCTCCTTCAGAATGCTCGCCTATTCATATCTGTATCCATTAACTGAGTTGCGTGCTTATTAAAATACATTAGCTAGGATGCTTTCAGTTGCATGTAACATGAAAAACTGGTCACTTTGACTTAAAAAATAAAGAAAACACACACACCATGCTTATGTATACTGTCACGTGATAGGACATTCAGAGATTGACTCCAGAGCTAATTAACTCAAGGCTTCAATAATATCAAGAAATGAGCCACTATCTTATGGTTATAAGGGAGCTGCCAATAGCAATGAAACCTACTCTTTACTCTTTTGCATTTTTGTTTTACAGAAGAAAATGGACTTCATCCATAGTTATGAATTAATTAGAACAATTTAGGAGAGTACCCAACATGGACCAGTAGTTATTATAAAGAATGGCATTATACAGCATTATGGGAAGGGGGATAAGACTATCATGATTAGCTTAGAAGAATCAGAACTCACTTTGGGTGTTGAGGTTTACCCTGATCCAACTATAGATGAAGTGGGAGTTAAGAGAGTAGTTAAACACAGTTTTGGCTTTATTTGTTCCAAGACTTGTTTACTCCTGCTGTATTTATTATTCTGATCATATAATTTATTTTAATATTATGATTAATAAGGACTTCCTTTTTTGCAAATAGCAGTATAAAGTTGTCACATACACACTGTCTGAGAAATCACATATAAGCAACATGGGAATACTAATTCCATCTTTGTTCTAACAAGGAGAATGCTGAAAGCTCAAACCACAAAATATGAGGATGAATGCCAGAAGCATTTAGATCAAGCTGAAATATAGGAGAAAGGACTTGAGATTATACATATATATATTATATATATATATATATACACATACATACATATTTGAAGATCCTAGAATGAGGTAAAAATATATTTTGCCTCCTAGGTGAAGAGAAAACCTGAAATGCCATTCCAGGATCCCTGTGTGCAGCAGCAGGACTAGGGCATACAGGCTTAGAGCAGGCATTTCCCATAGTCACAAGGAACAGATTGTTTATGTGATAGTAAAGAAAACCTATCCTACACCCCCCCCCAATTAAAAAAAGCAAAACTAGAGTCATTGACATAAATTTATTTCATACAGAAAATAGCTTGTAACATGGCCAGGTCTGAGTACTAAACAAGGAATATGCATACAAAGACATTGCAAGGGAAATAACTGAAGAAAAGGAAAAAGAACTCATAGACATATTAAATATACCAGAAAAATACAGCCATGAACAGATAAAAAATAAAGTCAAATATGTATCATGAATTAAAGAAAGAAAAAAAAACTTGGGAAGCAATCACAACAAGAGAATAAAACAGAGATATAAAAACCCAAGGAAGAGCTATTAAGAAAAAAGGTGATGAAATGTGTAAAATAGAGTAGGAAAGAAACAATCTTGTAGAGATAAAATTTATGAGCAGCCCAAGGGAGAATTAACACTCTGAAAACAAAGGAACATAGAAGATAGTAATGAGAAAAGTATGTAAAATGAAAAGGAAATTGATTTTGAAAAATATTTGAAGGTTAAATAAAAAGTTATAGCTATAGAAAAAAATGGGAAAAATACATGTAATTGGAATTCTTTTAAAAAACAAACAAACAAAAAAGAACAAATATTTAACAATCTAGTTCTTAAACATTGTCAGAAAAAAAAGAAACTTGATTGTATCATAGAAAAAGACACTGAATTTCAGAGAAAAAATAATAGTAAAGCTACTGTATTTCAAAGATGGAAGAAGAAATAGACAACCCAGAAATTGACTCAAGACAATATGCTCAATTAATATTTGACAAAGGTGTCAAGAGCATACAGTGGAGTCAAGACAGTCTCTTCAATAAATGGTGTTGGGAAAATTGGATATCTACTTGAAAAAAAATGAAGCTAGAACACCAACTTACACCATACACGAGAATAAACTCAAAATGGATAAAAGACTTAACATATAACTCATGAATCCATAAAAATTCTAGAAAAAAATGTAGGCAACAAAATCTCAGACATCATATGCAGCAGATTTTTTACCGATACAACACCTAATGGAACAGAAACAAAGGAAAAAAATGAACACATGGAACTACATCAAACTCAAAAGCTTCTGCACAGCAAAAGAAACAAACATCAGAACGGAAAGGGATCCCACTATATGGGAGACCATAATCACCAATGATGCATCAGATAAGGGGTTAATTTCCAAAATATATAGAGTGCTTATACAACTCAACAAAAGGAAGACAAAGAACCCAATAAAAAAATGGGCAGAAGACCTAAATAGACACCTCTCCAAAAGGACATACAAATGGCCAAGAGACATATGAAGAAATGCTCAACATCACTAATCATCAGAGAGATGCAAATTAAAACAACTATGAGGTATCACATTACACTTGTCAGAATGGCCGCCATTGACAAATCATCAAACAACAAGTGTTGGCGAGGATGTAGAGAAAAGGGAACTCTAGTACACTGCTGGTGGGAATGCAGACTGGTGCAGCCACTATGGCAAACACTATGGTGTTACCTCAAAAAGTTAAAAATTGAACTGCCATATGACCCAGTGATCCCACTTCTAGGAATATACCCTAAGAAACCTGAAACACCAATCAGAAAGAATATATGCACCCCTATGTTCATAGCAGCACTATTTACAATAGTTAAGATCTGGAAACAACCCAGGTGTCCATCAGTAGATGAATGGATCAAAAAGCTGTGGTACATATACACAGTGGAGTACTATGCAGCTGTAAGAAAGAAAGATCTCTTTTCCTTTGAGATGGCAGGGAAGGACCTGGAAAGTATTATGCTAAGTGAAACAAGCCAAGCAGAGAAAGACAAATATCACGTGATCTCACTTATTTGTGGAATATAATGAACTAAGGAAACTGCTGAACAAAATTAACCCAGAGACATAGAGGTGGGGTACAGACTGACAAGCCTCAGAGTGGGGGGGGAGATAAACCACAGAACTTACATACATGTATGCATGACCAGTGAACATAGATAACAAAGCTGGCCCTGGCCAGTTTGGCTCAGTGGTTAGAGCATCGGCCTGCGGTCCAGAGAGACCCGGGTTTGGTTCCCGCTAAGGGCATGTACCTCAGTTGCAGTTTGTCCCCGGCCCTGGTTGGTCGCGTGGGTGGCAGCCACTCGATGTGCCCTTTTCATGTCGATGTTTCTCTCTCTCTCTCTCTTCCTCTCTCTCCCTCCCACTCTTCTGAATAAAAAATGGAAAAAAAAAATGTTCTCCTGTGAGGATAAAAACAAACAAACAAACAAACAAAAAGCTGGGGATGGGGTGGGGGGAAGGGGAGGAGGATGTTAATGGGGGGGGAATGAGAAACATCTATAACAAAAACAAATTAAAAAAAAAAAAAAAAGACGGAAGAAGAGAAAGGAGGGCTGGGAGAAGGAGAATTAGAAATGAATAAAGAGGAAGAAGACCAAAAAGGGTTTGCGTGCTCTTTCTCTCTCTCTCCCTCCCTTCCTCCTTCCCTCTCTCTCCATTTCTTTGTTTCTCTTTTAAATGCCATTTTAGACTCAGAATTTAGATATGAACAATTTTTAGATTATGGAATTACAGAATTTTCATTCCAGAAAAATATTTATGTTTTCAAAACTTAGAAAAGGAACTGTTCAATATTTAATCTCATTTTAATACCTGAAATTTTCCTTTTGTTTCAGAAAGTTGGCCATGTTTTTGAATTTCAAAAATCTTAAAACCTGTTTACAAGAAGACATTTTACTGGATTATTATGTATCTGGATTTTTGTGGGCTAGAGGCATGGACTTTTCTGTTACTCAGTATTCAAAATTTATGACTTTACTAGATATGTTGCTTCATAATCTTAGAAGTAAGTATTCTTCTTTTTAAAAAAAAAATTTAATTCACTGTCTAAATTGTGGTAGTAAGCAAAAGTTTCTAATTGTATTTATAATTCCTTCAATGAAAATTATATTTTTTCCTGGGTGTAGAAAAAATATAGTTCATATCTTTATTACGTTGTAAAACTTCAAATAATACTTAACAATACCAAAGGTCTCTTAATACTGAATTTACCAAAGATATGTTGATTTTATTTTCAAATCTTACCAGTGCCATTCATCCCAAAAATGTCATGTAGTTGAGACCTAGTTAGGTATTTTTTCATTGATTGAGCTGTTTTTATTTCATCTTACCTAGAAGTGTTACTGCGATATCTCAGGATGACTGGAAGAGGAGGCACTTTGATCAATCTTAAACCCCTATTAAATAGACATTACTCACATACACTTAGGTTTTGTGACTTTTTTCTTATATAACACTGTAATCAGTTACTACAGTAAAATTGCAAATTCTTCCACGGAGCAATTTTAAATATGATAACTTTTGTTTGAGAATAAATAGAATTGCTTCTTCGAAGCAGGAAAAGAAGGAAATATAATTTATTTAATGCCAGCTTGTGTTCTAGGTACTGTATTTGGTCCTAACCTCTATCATACATTATTGAACCTCAGAGCATCTCCTACAGGTTAGTTGTTACAACCACTGTTTCAGAGTTGAGCAAGCAGTCCAGAGAACAAGGTCGAAGAGCAAGGAAATGGCAGAACTAAAATTTGGATCTCAGACTGTAAAACAAATTAATATAAAAGTGTTTGTGCCTCAACTGAAAAACAAGCTTGTGCCAGTTGGGAGACTTCAACTTTCTTCGTTCCTCTCTCCCTCCCTTCCTCCCCACCTCCCCTCCACTTCTCTCTCTTTCTCCTTCCTTCTCCCCTTCTTTCTTTTCTATTTTTTTTTCTTTTTTGGTTGTTTGCCTCTTTTTTTGGTTTTGTTTCTATTTTTTTGTGTTTTGTTTTTTTTCAACTGGACAGGTAGAGGACCTTGCTTCCCCTAAAGAATTGTCACCATCATCCCAGCAAAATTTGTGGATGCCTTGTGTTCATACAGCACCTAGTCTGTTCTGTGTATCAATTTCTAGCTACACGTGTACAGGGGACGTTTTTAGTGAGTTAGCAAGACTATAAAGAAGCCACTCATGCCCTGTGCACTCTTCCTTCTCCCTGTCACCCTCCGCAAGGGAAGAATTGGTATTTCTCATATGTGGGGAGAAGAAAATACTGTTTTCCTTCTCTGCAAGTGGGAGATTTTCATATTTGCTAGTACTTAAGTATATAGTGGCATGTAAAAGATAAATAACTATACCAATAGAAGATAAACAATTATACTTGATAATGAAAACAAATATGATAATAACTTACTGATTTTAAATTATTCTGCACATGGGAAATTGTATAAAGCAAAAACAAAACATGAAGTCTCAAGTGGCTAGTTTTGAGAATTCAGTCCTTTCTAACACAATTCAAGATACATATTTTGTAATTAAGAGACATGTTAAATAATATTATATTGTTCCAATTTTAATTGTTAAGCTACAACCTTCCAAAAATAGGAATGTTTAGTAAATCATCAAAAAGACAGTCTTTGGCTTTTTTCCCCCCTTGTAACACAAATATTTATAGAATCTTTGAGTACTACATTCCTCTAAATATGTTCTTTCAACAACGTTGCCAAAATTACTCAGTAAACAGAACCATGTAAATCTTAACTTGCATGGAAAATAATAAATAGATGCCAACAATAAGACAAAATGGATATTGAGATTATATGCCAAAGACTTCAACACAGCTATTATAAAAGTGCTTAAATGAACAATAGTGAACATTCTTGAAACAAATGTTAAAATATAATCATGAAAGAAATGGAAGACATAAAGAAGAAACAAATGGAAATTTTAGAACCGAAGTATATAATAACCATAATTAAAATCTCACTGGATGAAACCAATAGCAGAATGGAGAGGAGATGAAGAAAAAAGAAATCAATGATTTTGAAGATAGAGAGACAGAAATTATCCAGTGAACAACAGAGTGAACAATACAGAGAAAACATGAACAAAACCTCAGAAGCCTGTGGGACAATCAAAGTTCTAATATACATATTATCAGAGTCCCAGAAGGATAGCAGAAAGAGTACAATGCTGAAAAAACATTTGAAGAACTAATGGCTGAAAACTTCCCAAATTTGGCAAGACATAAACCTATAAATTCAAAAGGCTGGTTGGACCACAAACAAGCTAAACCAAAAGAAAAACATCATGAACTAACTGGATCCAATTGACATTTACAGAATAATACACCTGAAAACTATAAATATTTTGGAAGAAAACATTGGGAAATTCACAGCCTGTGGTTATACAAAAAGTTCTTAGCAATAACCACCCAAACATAACCCATAAAGGAAAAAAAATTCATAAACTGGATTGCATCAACTTTAAAAATTATTGTTTTATGAACATCAGTGTTAAGAGAATGAAATGACAAGCTACAGACAGGGAAAAACCATTTGCTAATCATATATCTGACAAAGAACTTGTGTTCATAATATATAAAGAACTCTCAAAACACAATAGTGAGAAAATAAACAGTCTTATTAAAACTAAGCAAAGCCATCAAAACCTGTAACGCTAGTTTAACCTTGAGGAAAACATCAGACAAATCCAAATTGAGGAACATTGTACAAATATCTAAGCAGTACTCCTCAAACTGACAAGGTTACCAAAAACAAGAAAAGTCTGAGAAACAATCAGTCTAGGGAAACCCCAGGAGACATGACTAGTAAATACAACGTGGTATCATAGATGGGATCCTAGAACAGAAACAGGACATTAATTAAAAATTAAGGAATTCTAATAAACATAAACTTTAGTTAATTGTAATAAATGTACCATATGTAAGATGTTAAAAATAAAAGAAATTTGTGTATAGGGACGCAAGAATTCTCAATACTATTTTTTATACTTTTTCTAGAAATATAAATTTATTCTACAATAAAGTTTATCTTTAAAAAATGAGTAAAGACTTTGAATAGGATTCATCAGCAAGGAATATAAAAGGATGTAAATAGCCACATAAAAATTTTCAATATCATTGGCCATTGGGGAAATGTAAATTAAAAGCCTTCTGATACACACATATTAAATCGCTAAAATAAAAATTACTGTCAGAACCAAATTCTAAGGAGGATACAGATTAACTAGAACAAGAGTTTTGCCAATGCAGGGTGGCACAGCCACTCTGGAAAATGGTTGGCAGTTTTTTATAAAATTATATGACCAGTCAGTCCCACTCCTAGGCATTATTCTAGTGAAAGAAAACATACGTTCACGCAAAAACCTGTACATGAATATTTTGTAGTTGCTCTATTCTTAAGTGTCCCAAACTGAAAACAATCCAAATGTCTGTCAATAGGTGAATAGTAAACAATGTTCATACAGTGAACATACAATGGAACACTACTTGGCAATAAAAGTGAATGAACCGTGATATATGCAACAGTGTGGATGAATCTCAATAGCATCATACTGTTGTAAAGAAGTCAGTCTCAAAAGGTAGGGGGTTCTCAAAATGATAACAGCTATAGTGATGGAGAACAAATTATTGGTTGCGAGAGATTGGGATGGGAAGAGGACATGAAAGGGAGGGCATAGGGAGTTTTTTGAGGTGATATAACTGTTCTATAACCTGATTGTGGTGGTGGTGGTGGTTACCTGACCTATACAAGTGTTTAATTTCATAAAAGTGTACAGCAAATGGAAAAGTCAATTTCACTATATAATAATTTTAAAAGATATGTATGTATAAAAATAAAGATAAAAGATTTAATTGTTAAAGATTTAGTTGTTAGAGTGTCGGCCTGTGGACCCAAGGGTCTTGGTTTCGATTCCTGGTCAAGGGCAAGTACCTGGGTTGCAGGTTTGATTCCCAGCCCTGGTTGGGGTTGTGCAGGAGGCAACCAATCCTCTCTCTCTCTCTTCCCCTCCTCTCTCCCTTCCTCCCTCCCTTCCACTCTATCTAAATAACAATGGAAAAATATTCTCAAGTGACGGTTAAAAAAAAAAGATTTAATGAAAGCAAATACATATATGTGCTCTAACAAGAAAGAGAAACGACCTAGGAATAAACTTAAACACACTATCACATGAACTCACTTATACGTGGAATCTAATGAACAAAATAAACTGATGAACAAAACAGGCCTGGAGACATGGATGGATGGATAGATGGAACAGACTGACAGATCTCAGAGGGAAGGGCGTCGGTGGGAGGGGGCGGTATGGGAAGAGATTAACCAAAGAACATATATGCATATATGCATAGCCCATGAACACAGACAATATTGTGATGAAGGCCTGGGTGTGGTGGGGGTTGGGTGGAGTGGGGCAAAGAGGGGAGGAATGGGAGACACTGTAATACTGTCAACAATAAAAAACCACACACACACACACACACGTATGCCCTGGCCAAGTGACTCAGTTGGTGGGAGCATTGTCCTGTGTACCAAAAGGTTGTTGGTGTGATTCCCGGTCAGAGCACACACCTAAGTTACAGGAATTATCCCCAGTTGGGGCACGAAGGAGAGGCAGCCCATTGATGTTTCTGTCTCACATTCCTATTTTCTCTCTCTCTCTCTCTCTCTCTCTCTCTCTCTCTCTCAATTCAATAAACATATTCTCAGGTGAAGATTAAAAAGAAAATGCAAATCATATAGAAAGAAAACTTCAAAGCATTTTCAAAGGTCACAAAGGAAGTTTTTAACATTTGAAAAAAAACTCGTAACATTCTTTAAAAGACTCAACATCATAAAGATGCTAAACCCCATCAAGTTAATTTAAAATATTAATAGTCTACAAAAATACCAACAGTTTTTTTGTTGTTTATATTTTTGCTTAGAAGTAGGTTACTAGGCATGGTGATTCTAACAAAAATATAGAAAATAAATACAAATAGCCAGAAAACGGTCTTTAAAAAGTGT